AAAAATAGGAAGTAGATTTTTTATTTTTAGAAAAGTGAATGTATGTGTGATCACGAGAAAAAATTTTCACGAAAACAAAAATTTCAAAGAATAAAAAAAAAATGAAAAACATAAAAACAAAAACACAATACAAAAACACGAAAGGCTTTTAACCATTATCTCTCTCCTGATCTGATGCTTTAGAAACAAGATCCCCCCTGAGATTTTTTGCATTTCATTTTCCCCAGTTTAAATTTTCTTTGCCTTTCCCTTTTCTTTCATAGGAAAAATTCTTAAATTAGGGCACTGATTTTTCATATATCCATGTTTCCTGCATCGAAAGCAAATAACGTCAGAAGAAATATGGACATCCTTACCACTTTTACATTTTTTCCACTTTTCCTTATGCTTGGTGAGCTTTGTGATTGGCTTGACAAGTCATTGCATTCGTCACCAACTAAGCAAACTTTTTCCGTATCTTCAGTTTTAGAATAATCGTTTCACCTACATCTAAAAGTCTTTGACCCAAACATTGCTCGTAGGCAATGAGTGAGCCAATCAAATTATCAATAGTAAATCATTCAAATCTTTTGATTCACAAATAGCAACAACTTTTGCATCAAATTTTTCAAGTAAACAACGAAGAATTTTATTGACTTTTTTAAAATTAGAAAACTCTTTTCCTAAGGCATGCAATGATGTTACAATTTGAATGAACCTACTGTGCATGTCTAGATCGTCTTATAGATTTCATGGAAAACAGTTCAAAATCATGCATTAACAAATTTAACTTGGATTGCTTGATTTCACTAATGCCTTCGTATATGGTGTGTAGTTTATCCCAAACTTCCTTACCAGTAGTGCACGTGGAAACTAACATAAAATCTTCATAATTTAAAGCACAGAAAAGCAGTTTTTAAAGATTTTGCATTCAATTGAGCATTTACTTGTTCTTCCCTATTCCATTGATTAAAAGGAATATCAGTTTTAACTCCATTAATAATATGTGACGGTTCCTTTATCAGTTTTAACTCCATTAACAATACGTGACGGTGATGAATAACCAGTTAAAATTATATGCCACATGCGAAAATCAATCGATTGCAAGAAAATAGATATGCGAGTTTTTCAAAAATCAAATGACACATTTTCAAATAAAGGAGGTCTGGTGATTGAATAACCTTCCGCAACATTGCGATTAGCCATGGATTGAAATTCAAAAGCTTTTAAAAACTTATTTTTTGAAAACCGCTCTGATACCACTTAAAAGTGCTCTGATGGCACTAGAAAGTTCGTTAGGGATGTTAAGCCTTATGAACTTAGTCCCAAGCTAACCAAGAGGGGGGGTGAATTGGTAATAAAATTCTTTACACAAAGAAATAAATCATTCTTGTGGGGGAAACTTGAAGAGAGAGCTTGAAAGGGAGAGAGGAAAGGGTGGAGTTTGAGAGGGAGAAGATCCTGTGAAGGGGGGGAACTCAAGGGAGTGTGGAGGGGATTCCACATGGTTGCTCCGGCGAACTCACACCTTAGTACCATTGGATTAAAGGTTTGTCTCGAGGTAAGTTCACGAAAGAAGAAGATCTTTTTGGAGTCAAAGGACCCGGCGACTCCGCCGCACTGGGGAAGGTAGAAGTGATTTTGTAAGGGCTTCTCCGCCTAGCTGTGGGGGCTAAAGGAGAGACACTTAGTTAGTGCAATACTTGGAGGGTGCCTCCAAGGAGAGGACGTAGGTTAAGGTTTGACCGAACTACTATAAATCCGGTGTGTTCTTTTTTTATTATCGCTTTTGTATTTATTTAATTCCGCACTTTGTTTGTGGTGATTTGGTTTGTGATTTTATTTCTTTGTGTAAAGAATTTTATTACCAATTCACCCGCCCTCTTGGTTAGCTTGGGACTAAGTTCATAGGGCTTAACATCCCTAACGAACTTTCAAGTGGTATCAGAGCACTATCTAGTGTCATCTGATCACTTTCAATTACAATCATTTTTTTTTCTTTCACACATTTCTCTAGTATAAGTAAAAAAAAAAAGAGAGAAGGAAATGTGCTCATTTGGCACTATAATAGAAGAAAGAAAGAAAAAAAGTGTAGTAGTAAAGAAGCTAGAGCTGTAACTATCGACTTGGCCTGGGGAGGCCTTCTCTCAACTGCTGCTGAACTCTGTATATCTTGCTCAATTATCTGCTAGATCTTCTTGGAGAGTGCTAGCTGTCACTCTCCCTCAGAACTGTGGAATGATCTGCCACTACTGCCCTAACTGTAAGTCTGACTGTCACTGTGGCTGGAGTCTGAAATCCTTTGCACTGTATGAGTAGTCATGCCCTGGGGCTGCACTAAGTCACTATTCTGTAGATGGATCTTCCCACTATCCATAAGGCTCTCCTTCCTATCTTTGAACACAAAACAATCTTCAAGTGTATGGCCAGTGTGTCGGTGAAAGGGGCAATATAGTGGGTGTTCCATTTGCCCTTATTCATCTGCCTTTTTATTGAATAGGAATGCCAAAATATCTTTCTTAACAAGGAATTTAAATATCTTTCTTATACTTTCTTTTTTAAAGAAATATTCCTTGTCAAGTCTCTCCTATAAAGATGGTTGACTCTCTAGGGCCTTATAAGGAGGTCTGGATTACTGAGTCTGTAGTCGTGATGGAGGTGCACTGCTCACGGGCTTCTTGCCCTTATCTGGTGGCCCATAGGTACTGTGTACCTTCCCCTTCCTAGGAGGAGGTGCCCTTAATAACTCCTGATGCTGAGGTCTACGCTGAGGTTGACTCTCAATCTTAGGAGGGACTGCATCAGGTATGCTGTCCTGTAGACTGATCACCTTAGTTAACAATTTTTGAAAGGTTCTTATAGTGAAACCTTTCAAGTAAGGTGCTATAGGGCCATCTATATTCTTTAACAAAATCTCTACTGCATGCTGCTCCTGTAACTGGGGCTCACACTGCAGGCTAAGGTTCCTCCATCTAACTATATAATCTGGAAGACTCTCTCTAGGGCGCTATCTAGTCACAACCAATTCTCCAATTGTGATCCGGTGCTCTGCACTGGCAAACCTCTGTATAAATAGCTGCTCTAACTCTGCAAAGGTCTGGACTGAGTCGTTGGGGAGGTCGGCATACCAAGCAAACGCCACCCCAACCAGAGTACTAATAAAAAGTCTTAACATCAATGCATCATTCCCCCCGATGTTGCAACATATGGCTCGATATTGAGCCACATGCTGCCTTGGGTTCCCAAACCCATCAAAGACTCTGAATCATGGGGGAATAAAACCAGGAGGGTAAGGCTCACTCTCATACTCCAATGGGTAAGGCCTACCTCTACTGACCACCTCTTCAGTCTTCCTGGAGGAAATTGCCTACTCCACCTTCTGAGCTATCAAATCTTGAATCTGACTGGCTAACAACTGTGCTGGCTGACTCTAGCTAACTGTAGGTGCTGCAGGAACTATAGGAACTGCCGTCGGGACCCTATCCACTCTCACAGGGTCTAGTGCCACTGGCGCTACTGGATCGTCTCTAGATGTGGTAGGAGTACCCACGCCCATCACTTAGGGTGTAGCCCCCATAGGAGTCAACTGGGCAGTCATCACTGCCATGGCTTTGGCCATCTCGGCCATCTGAGCATGTAAGTGTAGTACTGTGGTATCTATAGAAACTGATCTGGGAGATCCCCTGCCTCTGGATCTCCCTGCTCATCATCATCCTCAGGGTCTCTCTACTCATCTGAGTGAATTCGATGAGTAATTACATAGATCTGGTGCACTGGTATATCCTCATCTAACACACTTTCCAGTATATCATCATCCTCTAAGAAAGATCATTGAAGTGCCTCTATATAGGGACTCATAGGAGAGGTGATCCTATGAGGGCTGGGAGATGGCTCTATCTCTACCTGGTTTGGTGATCCATCAGGGCTAGGCACTGTATCCATATCACAAGTCTTTGGGACCACTTCAGACCCAGAAGAAACTACTACATCCAGTTGGTCAACTATATCTACTGGCTAAACTGTCTCAACTGAATGTACTATCTCAACTGACTGTGTATCCTCAACTGACTGTACAGTCTCGTCTGGCTGCACTGTACCTGCTGATTGTACAGGCTTGATGGGGGTGCCTGCCTGTCGACGTCTCCAAACCCCTCTACTACGACGGGGCTCTATATTGGTAACCAGCTGTTGAGGGACTACCACGGCTGATCTATTCTGGGACCGAGTAGGCTCCCAATGTTGTTTCTATTCTTGACAACGTGGGTGTCGTCCAACAGCAGGAGTAACTATCGGCGGTCTAACAACTGGAGTTGTATTGACTAACTGCCGAGCTGGCTATCCTCTCTGCCACCTATACCTCGGTGTCGTGGTCTATCTCTGCAATTGAAGAGTAGCCTGAGAGATCTGTTAGAGTAACCTCTCCAGACTGGCAGGACCTCTACCACACGTTAGAAAGATGATATTTTGAATCATTTGAGAGAGGGCTCGAACACTAGCATCCCTAGGGACCCTAGCCTGGGGTAAGGTAGTGGTAACAGGAGGAGCCGCCGTAATGTGGGCAACATCCTCCTCATCCCCACTGTGTGTCAGTGGAGAGAAGTGTCCTCCCTGGATCGCCTATATCTCAGGAGCTACTATCACCTCTAAGGTGACTACTGCTGCAACTGGTCATGGTTTCCACTGCCTGGGAGCCACTATTCTCTAAACTAGCTCCTGGTGAGCTATCGCATCTTCCATCCACTGCCTCTCTACCTCAGACGCAGTTAAACATAACCTCCTATTCCTATTCCTCCTGGCCTATCTCCCAAGGCTGGAGGTGGAGGTGGATGGAACATCTGAACCCACTGCCTAGGTGGGGGAACAGGCACAACTGGGAGTGTCAGGGTCTGCCCGACGGTCTCAATATGAGAGAGCCGAGTAAAAATAGAAACTCGACCAGAAGAGGGCGAAGGCACCTCGGTCTGGGCAGCCCTCTTCCATGTGGAAGTGGGAGGGGGAACCCAAATTCAAGGTACTTCTGCCGGAACAATGGGAGTAACAACAGCAGCAGGCTACCGGCGCTGAGGGGCTGGACCAACCTGTGCAACAGGAGTGGCAGGCACAAGTCACCTAACTGCTGGACGAACGAGGGGAATAACTGCAACAGGCTACCGGTGCTGAGGGGCCGGAGTAACCCGCGCAACAGGAGCGGCAGGTATTGGACGCCTAACCACTGAACGAACTAGTGGAACGGGAAGTGGCCTAGGCACTGGTCGCCTAGCCATAGGGCGCACAAGCTGCACAAGTACAAGAACGGGATGAACAGGTGCCTGGGCTATCGACCGAGCAGCTGGTCGTCCAAAAGGGCGCATGGCTACGCATCCTCTCATCTGGGGAGGAGAGAATACAGCAGCCTCCGATGGGGTCGGCCCGCCAAGAGTGATGAAGGCCGAGTCCGTGAAGGAACCAAAAGTGATCCCTCCAGTGGGCGGACTAGCGAGCAAGGACTCAGGGAGAGTCACCTGCACATCTGAGCCGAAATTGAAAGTAACGAAAGGTGCGAAAGGAACCATGGTACTGTTGCCAAGAAAAGAAATAGAAAAGATTGGTTAGAATGAAAATCAAGAAAGAATGAATGAGTAAGGATTTCATAAAGAAAGATAGAAATGGATAAAGGATGGAATAGCCTGCAAGGCTAGAAAGAAGTAGAGTAGGGAAGAATCGTAGCTAAGGGGAAGGAACCCTAAGGAAAGACCCTAACTAAGAGTGGGATGGACTCAATCTAAGGAGTAAAAATCTTGGAGTACACATAAGAAAAGATAATATAGAATCTAAAGATGGAGAGAGAAACTAGTCCCACCGTAGTCGCCAGAAACCTGTGGACCTCTGAAAGAGCATCGTGCGAATGGGTCAATTGAAAGGGACAGATTGGATCGTGCATACGACTAACCATTGAGGATAACGGCTCTCACCATTGCACCCCGATGGGTAGCAATAAACATGACCTAATCACAGGTTTCCCCCACCTAATGCGATAGCTCGAGTGGGGTTTAGTATATGTGGAGCCATGTTTCCCACGGGCGCAAGCCCCCATGGTTAATTACATCCTAGGCTAGAGCCTGAGAAAACTCTCAATTAAGGATTATATATTATCCATTCTTAAAATGGGATTGGCACGATGGTGTAGACTAAGAAGTCATACTCAAAGGGAAGAAAGGTCCCAAAAGGCTCAGTCAACATGCGTGGCTCATACCAGCATTTAGAGGCTCTAGGATACTATAGAAGAAACTGGAGAAAATAAAAGTCAGGCATCCAATCACATGCATGAGAGAAAGATGGATGTGGCATCATCCTGTGATGCATATAAATAGGATTTATAGTCCCTAAAAGGAAGGGACCTACCTACTATTTAAGGCATACTATGAGACCATATGTAGCAGCCTCGAATCCTAGAGCTATATTGAGATTAGTGTTCTACAAAACACTAAGACCCGTATCCTAGCTAATGCAGCGCAAAACCTGGACTTACCCCAGCTTGGATTGGGGAGCCAGCTAATCACCTAATCACTTTAAAACCATGCTATCAAGTCAGTTATGAAAGATGGGTGGGTGGTACAGTTATTTGAAAATATGACCGACATCTAGAGAGTTTCCTATTTGATCCTGAACTTATATGGGGTAGATGCTCCTAACTAATATAATTAAATTTTAATTAAATTAGTTTCTAATATAATGCATGCTAGTTGAAAAGACAAATCATGAATGTTATAGAGTTTTAAAAAATAGGCTTATTAAAAAATAGATTTTTAGAAAAGACTGGGTTTCCTTAAGCCCAGCACTTCATCCTCATAGGCCAAATTATCCGGAATCTACTAGTAGGCAGGGAGATGTCTTATAACAAGGGAAGAAGGATGCTACAAGGTTATTCTAATAATCATCCCAAGCAGTTGCAATATCTCAAACAGTTAAGAATAAAAAGAAATAATCTAAAAAATAGATTTTTAGAAAAGACTGGGTTTCCTTAAGCCCAGCACTTCATCCTCATAGGCCAAATTATTCGGACTCTACTAGTAGGCAGGGAGATGTCTTATAACAAGGGAAGAAGGATGCTGTAATATGCATGCGACCCCAGACGATTCCAGCAGTTCCCTAGATTTGTTAAGTTTCTAAGTTATTTAAACTTAAATTTTTAAAAATTAGTTATGAGTAGAAAATATTTTATTATCCTTAGAAGAGCCTAATGAAATTCAGGCAAAAAACAAAAGCAACATGCAAGAAAGAAACCTAAGAAAAACAGGCAATTTCTATTGCACAATTAGGTAAACACATCAATATAAATCCAACAAATCAATTAAATGTCCATAGGTAAACTACCCTTATTACAACCCAGATATGCAGAAAGCAAAGTGGCCGGGCGTCACTGCCAACATCCCAAATTTCTAAGCCTATAACAGACGCAAATGACTTTGAGTGGGATATTGATTTTCAAGTCTTCAGTCTTCAATCTTCTTCTCCTTGGACTCCTTAGAATTCTCATCCTTGAACTCCTTAGATTTCTCCTCCTTGGAATCCTTGGATTCATCGTGGCTTGAATATCCAAACGAAGAGATAATTCCCCCTTGGTAGGGGGTATAGCTTTTTCTCTTTGAATATCTAAAGCCATCCAGCTCGATCTTCCAAATGGAAGAAGACTCTCCCCTATGAGGATGCCTTCTTCTTTTGGAAGTCAAGTTGGATAAGAATATCCCAACTCAAATGTCAATTTCACAACTCTTAACAAATTTTGCAAATATTACATCAATTTAAAAAATAATAAATTCTAAACTCCCTACAAGGTTATTCTAATAATCATCCCAAGCAGTTGTAATATCTCAAGCAGTTAAGAATAAAAAGAAATAATCCATTGAAGATGTGCCAAGCCATGCTCTTAATTATGTGGGCTAAGCAGTCCACCTGTAGCACCTGTAGCAGTTATAATTATTTTATTTAGCCCTCGTTTATTTAGGGGGCTGAGCAAGCACCTGCATAAGATAATATTAGAAATCACAATAGTGCCCCCATTTTTTTAGCTTGAGCATGGCCACATACACGGAAGAACAGTATATATATGTTCCTAACCTAGGGGTAGATCTAGCGCTCATCACATCATATTCACAGAGTGTAGAAAAAGTAGGCAAACACACCAACAATTTTAAATAGCATGCAATGAAAATCACTGAAATCTCTGGCACACAGCAGAAAAGGAAATAAACACTGGCCTAGCCTAATTCTAAAAGTGGTGCCCTAGCAAACAATCTTATGTGTGTGCATGGCTGGTGTGGCTTGGATATGTCCTAAGCTGGGTAGTTAGTTAAAATTATCTAAAGTTGTAGTTTGTGGAAGGATAGAAAAGGGAGTTTTAATTAAAATCAAAGTTTTAATGGATTAGGGTCCATTTTTAAGTAATTTGGTTTGTTGATCAGTTTTTAATGCTTAGGGTGGTGATATTTGAAGTTTAAATTGCATTACAAAATTTTGGAAAGTCCCGACTCCTCTTAGGTACTAGGTTGAGGAGGTCCAAAAAGTCACTACGAGCAATAGGCTAGATTTAGGTTTCCTATATTTTAGGAAAATACTAGACCTTAAGATGAGTAGTTAGCCAGGTAGTATACTAAAATTGGAGTTTTCTAGGCAAAGTTATGAACTTTCTATGTTTTGGGCCCTAAATGAACTATGGTTGACTAAAAAGTTGACTTTCTAATTTAGGTGAGTTTCTGGAATCCTAATATTTTTCATAAATATTAGGCCTTACTAGGAGTCTAATTCCACTAAGTTAGCCTAATTTAGAATTTTATACAATTAGTAATGAATTTCTAAATATCGGGTAATTAAAGGAATTATCTAAATTATCTAATAAAGGGTTGATTTTGTGGTTTTGATCCAAATCAGCTCCAAATTGATTGGAATCACCCCCAAAGGTCAGGGATGACTTGAGAAAATGATTTTAAGTGTTTGGGGAAAATTTAAAATTTTTAATAATTTTTAATGAATTATTAGGAGCAAAATGGTAATTTCCATATAAGGTTAAATTAAGGGTCAACCTAAAGTCAAACTAAGGAGTTCTATTTATCTAAGGTTAGGGGTCAAATTTTAAGCAATTCAAGCTATTATAGGTAATTTTCAGAATTGAAATAGGTTTATTATAATTTTCAGAAAATCTCAGAGCCCTATTTATCATGTAAATTAGGGTTGGTTAATTAAGGGGTCTAACAAGCCCTAAAAATTCCTAGAAAATTATAGAATGTTCAATATGTCTCTAAGTTTAAGTGTTGAAGTTTTTATTTTAATCTGTGATCTATCCTAGCTTCTAGAAAATTTCTAAATTTGCTAGATGGGTCCTTAATTATTATTCTTAAGGTGTCAGTACGCTGTAGGAGTTTAATGTGAAGTTTTGTCTAATGCTCAAGGTAATAATGCATGGAAAACACATAAAAGTAGTTAACACACTATGTCCTTAGATCTAGGTGAGCCTAAATTAAGTGCTTGTGGTGCAACCTACACATGCAATCTACGACAAATGAAAAGTAAGTACAAATGATGAAGGGATTATTGAATGATTGGAACTCAGTCATTCACTAATCCATCTCCCCCATGATTTCTCTTCATATATATAAACTGTGCCTAAAATTTCATGTAGTGAGTCTTCCAAAAATAGGAGATTTAATATATAAGTAATTTTAAAATAGTTTTAAAATACTTAAATATATATAAATTTTGAAAGTTAAGATAATTAAAATAGGTCAAGTTATAGTAAATAAATATATGGGAGACCCACTGACCCCTCAAATCAAGGTTTTGAAAAGGGTTTCAAAATAGTTTTTAATTTAAAAATAATTACTATACTAAATACCCAAATAATACTTAAATAGCCAAATAGTGCTCTTAAGAATGAAATCTATCAATACAGTAGGAATCCGCGAATAGAAGCAATTTTAAAATAAAGTTTACATTTTTTATGAAAAGAACGAGGGGTTGCAAGCCGAAATCCGATTTAAAACAAAAAAGATATGAATTTTTGAAGTTTAAATACAATAGAAGAGCTACTTTTAAAATAATTAAAAAAATTATTTAAAAATAATCGTTAAATAAAATTGACTTAAAATATAGAAGTCTCTTAATTTTAAAAGTAATTTAAAATATGGCAGTAATAATACCTTAATTATTAATAATATTTTAAGTAATTTAAATAATTAAAAATAATTACACTAGTATTTAGTTATAAAAAAATACTTTTTATATTTAAATAATTATAATAATTATAATAATAATAATGATAATAATTAAAACAGTAACAAAAATATCAAAATAATAATTATTATTAATATTATAATTAAAGAAATAATGATAATTATATAATAATAATAAAAATAATCAAAATAATATTTCTAAAATAGTATTTTCACTATTTTTTTAAATAATTAAATAAACATAAAATATTTTTAAATTAATTTAATTTTAAAATAACGGGGACAAAAATACAAACAAAACGAGGTATTGCTCGTATTTTTCGGGAAAAAATTGGATTTTTGGAAGA